CGAAATGTATCCTTCCTGGACACTACTTGACCTTCAAAACTAACATCTTCCTCCTCCCGAGTAGTAGTGCCGAAGTCACATCTCATATACTCAGTTTTAGTTCTACTGAGTCTAAAACCTTTGGACTCCAAAGTCTCCCGCCATAACTCCAATTTTTGATTTACTCTTGTCCGGCTTTCATCAACTAGCACTACATCGTCCGCGAAAAGCATACACCAAGGGATGTCCCCTTGTATGTCCCTTGTGACCTCATCCATCACTAAAGCAAACAAATAAGGGCTCAAAGCTGACCCTTGATGTAGTCCTATCCTAATCGAGAAGTCATCTGTGTCTCCATCACTTGTTCGAACTCTAGTCACAACATTGTTGTACATGTTTTTAATGAGTCCGACGTACTTCGTTGGGACTTTATGTTTGTCCAAAGCCCACCACATAACATTTCTTGGTATTTTATCATAAGCCTTCTCCAAGTCAATAAAAATCATGTGTAGGTCCTTCTTCTTCTCCCTATACCGCTCCATAACTTGTCTTATTAAGAAAATGGCTTCCATAGTTGACCTTACGGGCATGAAACCAAATTGGTTCATAGAGACCCGTGTTATTGCTCTCAAGCGATGCTCGATAACTCTCTCCCATAGCTTCATAGTATGGCTCGTCAACTTAATTTCCCGGTAATTAGTACAACTTTGAATATCCCTTTATTCTTGTAGATCGGTACTAATATACTTCTTCACTCATTAGGCATCTTGTTCGATCGAAAAATATGGTTGAACAGCTTGGTTAGCCATACTATAGCTATGTCCCCGAGGCATCTCCACACCTCGATTGGAATACCATCCGGTCCCATCGCCTTACCTCCTTTCATCCTTTTCAACGCCTCTCTGACCTCAGATTCTTGGATTCTCCGCACAAAGCGCCTATTGGTGTCATCAAAAGAGTCATCCAACTGAAAGGTTGTGTCCATATTCTCACCATTGAACAATTTGTCAAAATACTCTTGCCATTGATGTCGGATCTCACTGCCGCTGCCACCGCGTTGGCGGAAAATACTCTTGTCAAAGAGAGGGAGACGCGTGCGCGTGGGGAAGGAGCGGGAACCCACTGCCGCTGCCACCGCGTTGCCGGAACCCACCGTCACGTGGGGTGAGAGGGAGAAGCGTGCGCGTGCGGGTGGGGAGCAGACCATTCGGTGGCTAGCCATTTTTAAGTATTTGCCTTTTTTATAACATCTTTGTCTCTAGTTGGCCTGCGTGAATTTTTCTAAGACACCTCAAAATTTTGACGTAGAACCAAATGCCAGCTAAAGGTTATGAGTATATCAAATTTTGATAAGACATTCTTGACTTTCATAAAAAAAACACTCTAAGCAGTTGTTTGGTTGATCCCTCTAAAGGGGTCAGAGGGGACAAGAGAGATTTAAATTTAAAGCTTATTCAGTCTGTCTAGTGAATTGGAGTAGTCCATCCTCAAAACATCTCAATACATGTAGAGAGTAAATTAGTGCAGCGAAACAAAACATTGACTTGTTTGACTGCACCACAATTTATACTAGTATATTTGCCCGTGCTAACGCAACGGGGTTATAAAGTCCAAAGTTAATTGTATTAAATTTGAAGTACTCATTAAGATTCAATCAAAAACACATTTCTGTAGCTCAAAAAAATTGAAGCGACGCCCGTTCACAAAGCATAGATGTACTTTTGTCGCAAAAGTTAGAATTCAATCTTGTTTTATAAAAAATCATATAAAATGACAAATATGAATGTATTTTTTCTCATACTTTCTGAAAAAATTGAGGGAACCCCAACTATTGAAACAAAAGACACCTATGGGATATGGATACATCTCATAATTTTTGAGCAATCGAAATACAATTTTTTATGAGTTCTCATGACTTGCACTACATATTCCCTCCCCACCCGCTTGTACAGAAGACATTGCAAATAAGATTGCAAAAGATCAATATGTGCAACCCAATGTACCAACAACAACAATTTTAACAGTTAAAAAAACAATTTTAACCATGACACCGGACCACATGTATAAGGCACACCGGACAATAATTCACCCTGTTCGCTTGGCTTATAAGCCGTACTTTTTCCGCCAACGAACAATAATTTTCTCTCACAACAAATCAGCCAACAGTACTTTCAGCCATGGCTTATCAGCCAAGTGAACAGGGCAAATAAGCTGGTACTATGTATCCTCCTCCAGGATGGAACCTTTATAGAAGTCAGTGCCTTTCTGAAGTGGATCTTCAACTTTCAGCAAACAAACCAAAAAAAATCTGTGTTTGTTAGCATATCTGGACAGGAGACCACAAGCTGTTGACGACACACTGAAGAGTAGCAAGTGTAGTTCGACCAGCTTGCTTAGCTACTGAAGTATAAAACTATTAGTAACTACGAAGTGCGCTAGTAACTAATGTTGATGTTTAGAAGAATAACCTGCACTCGATTAACCACTAAGGTATATCTCCCACCTGAAATATTGTACCACACACTAAATAAAAAGTTAGAAGCCAAGATTCATATGCATTCTCTCTTATACTTCAACATCTACCATGTTTCAGGTTTATGTCAGCTATTGGTTGATCCTAGATCAATACCTAGCTGCTAGCTCATAGTGGGTGAGTGAAATCAAAAGTTAAGAGTATAATAAAGGACAAACAACAGTTTGGAGAACGTAGCTATAAGCATTGTTTTATATCCACTGGCAACATCACAGAATATTTATGGTACTACTATGAATAAGCGCGTGTTTAGTTCCAGGAATTTGGAATTTGGGGCTACTGTAGCACGTTCGTTTTTATTTGGTAATTAGTGTTCAAACATGGATTAATTAGGCTCAAAACGTTCGTCTCGCAATTTCCCACCAAACTGTGCAATTAGTTTTTTTTTTCGTCTACATTTAATGCTCCATGCATAGGCCGCAAACATTCGATGTGACAGGTACTGTAGCACTTTTTGGGAATCCGACCTATCGGTTTTGGCTTAAAGATAAATTCAATAACTTTTGAAGACATGATAAGCCTCCCAGCGTTATAACCAGCAATATCATTGGCAATTAGGAGCAATTTCTGCAATATAAAATTAAGCCATGTATGCGCAATTATAGTTCCTTCAGGAAGGAGAAAAATAACCCAAATCACTCTGCAGAAAAGAACGTTTTTTGGATGTGGGCATATACCTTGACCTGCTTCTGAACATCCTTGATGTAGTCTAAGGCCAGATCCAGCATGTCGGCATTGTTGGTTTGCTGCGGTCATCAACAAAACCAGACACACAATAACCAGTCGTCAGTTTGTCTACCTTGCGCTGTTCTGTTCAATCAGGGGTGGAAAGGGAAAAAAATCTTGTGACATTTCACTGTTGGGCACGAGCTCCTGCAGCTTCCATATCCGCTCGCTGATCTTCATCCTCCTCACCTGACAGCGACAACGACATGAATCAGTTTCAAGTTTTTTCCTTTCTTTCTTTTTTTGGATTGGACTAAGAAACCAAGTGAGAATTTAAGAGTAGCAGCTAGGAATGCAGCTGGTGCTAGCCGCAGGGCACGAACCCGCTCGGCGATGCTGCGCGGATCGCCACCGAGGCCGCCGTCTTGCGGCCGTTCCATCAGGACTGATAGCAGACTGCATGGTATAAAGTTAAGGCATTACGGAACATACAATGATGAAACAATAACATCATCCGAAATAGACAGAGCAAATTGTAAAGTATCAGATCACAGAATCACAAATACCTCTGACGAATCTTCTTGAGTTCCCTAGGAGAGGAGGGCACCTTCGGTAGGAGGCCCCGGCGGGCGCTGCAGCTGCGATAACGAGGAGATTTAATGAAGGGGGCAAAGCCTGACCTAGGTCGATGCCGCCGCCGTGCTGAGGGCCGCTCCCCCAGGATGACGACCTCGGCTCCCTCATCCTAGGGCTGTCGCTCGGCGGGCCACCCGCGCCGGGAGCCGCCCGGGCTAGAGATGCGCTAACCTAGGCCAACGCCGCGCCGTGAAGGGCTGCCGTGGAGGCAACGCGCCGCTGGTAAGGCCAGCCGCCGGACAGAGGCAATACCAGAGAAGAAGAAGGCCTGCCGCAGGTCCTCCCTCGCCGCGCCACCCGCCGCCCAGAGCGCCTGCTGAAGCCAGCGCGCGGTGGCGCCGGCCTCGACCTTGAGCGCCTTCAGCGCCTTGATCGCGGTGTCCACGTCGGCCTTGGATGCTCCGCCGTCGGCCTTGAGCGCATGCACGAACTCGACCTGCCTGGAATCACCTGCGCCGCCATCGCTCCCGAGAGGCGAGAGCCCTGGTGAATCTTGCGGCAGAAGGGAGAGGTATCGAACCGTGACTGCAGTCGCACGCGGGCGTGGGAGATGCACGGGCGTTTGAAGCCGGTTAGAAGCCTGCCCTCACACATCCAACACCGTCTGTTATGATTTGGTTCGGTTGTTTTATTATCCTTAATTTTAATGGAGATGAAATTTTGTGTGTATTTTTTTTGATATATAATGGTTGGAGGCTTTTAGCAGAGGTGTTTTTCTGAGGAGACCTAATATAATTTTGATTGATCCAATAAATTGTAGTGGAAAAATAATTACTTATTTATCTCAATTCAAATGTATTGACATAGATTAAAATACAAAACTATTTAATTTTTTACTCCAACATATATGGAACGTGAGTGCAGCCAAACAAAATTCAACACAAAATTTTGTCCCCTTCCATTCCTTGCCTCTGCTGTCTAGGGACGGCGCGCGGCGTATCAGCGATTCCGAGGGGGAGTTGGTGACTCCTTCACCTGGCAGGTGGGTCCTCGAAGGCAACGCATCGCATGTGGGTTTCTCACATAGTCACATCCAACGGTGGCGAGCAGAGGATGCCCCTCTGATCTGATCCAATGGCTAGAAGGGTCCACGTGGGAACTACGCCACCACCGGTACGCGCACGCACCCGATCGAGTGTACCCATACTCGTGGCGTCGGCCCGGGCGGAGTCGCGGTCACTGCCGCATGGCCCTGGCCTCCCTCACGGCCTCGCTCCCAATCGCCGTTGCCGCCGCTGCCGCGGTGAGATTCCGATTCCGCTTCCGCATCGGCCACGCCATGGCCTCCTCCGGCGCCGCCACTGGTGTGAGCGCGACCACAAGGGCCTTGCCGGCGAGGGTGGGCGTGGTACAGATGACCTCCATCGGGGATGTCGACGCCAACTACGCCACCTGCTCCTGCCTCACCAAGGCAAGCCCTCCTTAAGTAGATGTAGGCTTTTCTCACATGTTGGATGAAAATAATCTAACTCAAGCAAGAGAAATGCCTAGATCTCGACACCCAAGCTATTGACATCATGTATAGATCTTTGGATGATAGCATATTTGGTGAGATCATAAACATGAAGACCGCCCATGAGATTTGGATTTATCTCAATGAAAAGTATGGGATGGTCTCTGATGGTGATGATGATGAGCCCAAGAAGGAGGCACATGAGGATGTTGAGCATAGCCACAATTCAGTGATTGTGGAAGATTGCTCCACCTCATGGTCAAGTGATGATGATGATGATCATACCACAAGACCACTTGACAAGATTGATGATGATGCCACAAGTGATGCCAATGATGATGCTACTCCATGCACACTTGATGGTGATAATGATGGATCATGCTCGGGCTATGAGAGTGATGTTTCTTCAAGCTCTCCATCTACATCACATTGCTTCATGTCACAAGGTGACACTAAGGTATCTAATGCAAATGTGATTGATCTTGATTCATATGAGGAGCTTCTAGATAGATATGGTTGCATGATCATAGCTTTAGAAAAAGAAATGGCTAAAACCGAGAAATTGAAAAATGAAAACTCTTTTCTAAAGAACACATGTCAACAACAAAAGCATCTACTTTGTGTTACTACTTGTTCACATGAAGAGCTAAAATTGGCTCATGAGGAACTAAGTGTTGCTCATGATAACTTGGTACAAGACCATGCTTTTCTCACTAAGGAGCTTTCCAATGGAAAAAAACTAAAACTAGTGAGAGCTCATCACATGGGTCAATTGATCAATCATATATTGTTGCTAACCCTTGTGATGTAGGCAAGAAACATGTATCCACCTCTTGTGATGATTTATTAGAAATGCCATGTTCTTCACAAAGAGATGCTTGTTTTACTTCTATGTCTTGTGAGACTAACCTTTTGAAGGAGAACAATGAGCTCAAAAATGAAGTGAAGAATTTGAGCAACAAGTTAGAGAGGTGCTACAACTCAAAAGTCACCTTTGAGCATATGTTGAAGACTCAAAGAAACTATGGTGATAAGTGTGGCCTTGGCTTCAAGAAGAAGATGACAAAGGATGAAAGAAAGAGAGAAAAGAAGATGAAGAAGCAAGAGAAAGAGAAGCTTTCTCATTTCATGTGGTATCGGTGCCATAAAGTGGGACATCTTGCAAATACTTGCCCAAACAAAGAGAAGCTCAAGGAGATGAAAGAAGAAGAGAGGCTGAAGCATGTAAAATGCTTCAAGTGTCGCACATGGGGTCATCTCATCTCTATGTGCCCAACAAAGCAATTGGTGAAGCAACAAGTGAAGCCTCAACTAGAGCCACAAGATGAGCAAGAAAAGAAGCCCCAAACTCAAATCAAGATTAACCATGAAGATATTGGTGATTTGATGATAAAGAAGAAGAAAACTAGAAGGGGTGGAAAAGTAAGAGAAAGAGCAATGCGTTCAAGGATGAATCAAGATGCAAAGCAAATGAGCAAGAACAAAGAAGAGAAAATGAAGAAGATTGCTCACATGAGGTGTTATAGTTGTGACATATTGGGCCACCTAGCTTTGGGTTGCCCAAACAAGCTTGAGAAGAAGGATCAAGCAAACAAGGAGAAGCAAGACAATGAGAAGCATAACATGAGCAAGGAAGAGAAGGCTCAATCAAAGAGAAAGTGCTACTCATGCCGGGAAAGGGGACACATGGCACATTCATGTCCCCTAGGTAACACTCCTAAGCCTATTTCAATTGATGATGATTCTATGCTTAGGAAGGATGGTAATGGTACCTCTATGGTTGTTATTGCAAAATATCCCGCTACTCATACTAAGGCTATGCCTAAGTATGTTGCTCCTAACTTGAGAGGACCCAAACTTGTTTGGCTACCATCAAAAGGTGGATGATTGTTTGTAGGTACCATCGACATTGGAGGCTTGATTCAATTGATTTCACATTGATCATCATATGTTGAGCCAAGTATCGAAGCTTAATGCAATCCTATCCCAATGCCAAGCCAAGAATTAGTGAAGTCCAAGAGTGCTACAACATACAAGTGTCATATTCAAGTTGTGGATGATTTATTGGATATATATATATATATATATATATATATATATGATGGCTTGAAAGAATTTGAGTTGAAGCTTGCTAATTGGATGATCATGAGCTAACCAAGGTATATCTCTTATTGATCATTTTATTTGGGTGCATATGAGTTAATTGAATTGAATAAATATGCAATGTTGCTTGCTATAAGATGATTGAATGGATAATTGCTTAGTAATCAAGTTTGGATTGATTTGTGTTGGATAAATTCATGAGATGACTTTTTTGTAAGTGGATTGAATGGATATATGTCTTGTGAAAGTATTAAAACAAGTGAATTTCAAGTTTGATTCAATTTGAAGAAGTATAGCTCATGTGAAGAAATCTGTCCTATAATTGAGAATCTGAGCTAGTTGTGATCTTAGTCATGTTGAGTGATCAAAACTTATTGGATTGGAATAAAAATTGGTGTACATTCTCTGGACTTATGTTATAAGATTATGTACAAATTTCACGAGAATTGGATAAGAGATGCTTTGGTTTTAGAGTGGATCTTGTCAGCTATAGTGCAGCAGTTTTCAGCATGTAACAGTTGTGGAAAAATTAAAATCTGGTAGCAATATCTTGTCAAATTTTTACATCTACTAGATAACTTAGTGAAGCATATCTCTACCAAATTTTGTGGTATTTGGATTTGTACTTTGGGAGATATGGATTTTTCCTTGAAGAGTACAGAATTTGCCAGAAAAGTGACAATTATTGGATTTATTTGGAGTCACTTTGATTGAAATGTCCTCAAGTTGAAACATGTTTATAAGTAATTGAGGCACTTAAGTTTGGTTTTGAGATGATCTAGAAGCATGACAAGCAAAGAGTACAAGGGCATTTGATTGTGGAATGTACTTTGCACACATTCGGTACTCAAATAGGAAGATCAAGATCAAACTTAAGATGAAGATGAAGTTTAAGTTCAAGTAACTATTAGAAATCATTTGATAGAAAGAAAAGGACTTAAAGAAGTAGAAAGAAAAGGACTTAAAGAAGGAATCAAGGTTACTCATCAAGTTAAGTCTATCACTTAGATCAATCAATCAAGTTATTTCAAGTGAGTATCAATAATGGTTCTTAGAGAGAGGTCACTTCTCCCTAGTGTAGGGGCTTGCCGCCTATGTGTAGGTAAACCAAGTGTGGTACTTGAAAAGCTAACATAGAAGTGGTGATCCGAGGGACATTTGAGATGCTTAGTTGAAGCAATCAAAAGGTTTGATCAATCAAAGCAAGCAACACCCAAAGAGAGCTAGTCATGGCAATTCAAGTGGTATTCTAAATAGTTCTCTCATGCAAGCAAAGATCAAAAGATGAAGCAAGCTAACCACAACAGGATACTGCACTTGATCATATTAGTGGTTCTCAAATCATATGGGTGAAGAATGGATTTTATTATTCATGATTGGTCTTCACCAAGCTTATAATTGGACTTCACATTGCTATTGGAGTAATGAATTGGAATCTATGTGACTATCGTCTACTCCAACATAGCAAAGGTATCATTGTAATGTGCATGATCATTTCATCCCTTACTAGTATGTGATTAGTGCATATAGTACATGTTTCATAGGATCATGCATAACAAATGAAATGTTTAAATTCATAGCCTACCACTATTGCTTGAATGATTAGTTGATCTAGTGGTTAGTATATGAATTTGTTCATGAGCTAGTGAACCCAAGTACTTGATTTAATTTGTATTGCCAACAAGTGACAAGTATGACCTCGATAAGATAACCTCCAAATAAGTGTGAAGAAGCTTAGAGAGGGTTCAAACCGGACTTGGAAGCTTAGGCAAATCAATTTAGTTCAAGTCAACCATAGAAGCTCATGATAGTGATAAGAGTACAAGCACAAGACAACAATGCAAATAAATATCTAGTTTGGTTGATTCAAGTGGTGTCTAGACTCAATTGACCTATCAAGTGGAATACACAAGTGATATCTAGATCAACTCACAAGTGATATCCGATAAAGTGGTACTCATGAAGATAGCAAATGTTCAAGAAATGGTTTTTATTGATAAATCCAACAAGTGGTTCCATACTAGAAAATTCTTTCAAAGTGGTATCACATCTACACGTGGTATCAATCATGCAAGACGATGGTTCCACAAGTGATCCTCAACTTTAAGTGATCATCAAATGAAGAATGCATCCCTCACCTACAAGAGCTTAAGTTTATCAAATGGATGACCCATGCTATGACATAGGGGGAGGTGTCCCACAAATTGGTATCAAGGTCGAAGATCCTATGTGTGGTATCTCAAGGGCTACAAGTGGTGTCATTCCAACAATCAAGTGATGTCCATAAAAAAAATGCAAGATTCAAGCCTCAACCATCTACCCCAAATGTAAACCTTTGCATCAATGAGAAGCACACTTTTTATGGAAATTGATGACAAAGGGGGAGAGATTGTACAAATATATGAAAGCTTTGGGAGAGATTGAGACAAAGAAGTAGAGGTTGGACATGGACATGGACAAAGAGGGAGCAACAATGAAGAAAAGAGATGGATCAAAATTCTTAGACAAGAGAAGCACACAAGTAGGGGGAGCAAGCTCATGAACTTTGATTGGTTGCATTTGATATGTGCATAGTCATGTGCTTGCTTGCATTGCATAAATTTTTTAAATTTGATATGCATGCTTGTGTGGTGTATGCTAGTTGTAGAACTTGAATGATGATTTGATAACTAGCATGCATAGGATGGTAGCTAGACTTGTATTTTTACATGTGGTACTAGAACGTTGCTTATAATGTTGATCTCACGGGGTTTCCAGTATTTTTGTTGTCTAGCTACTCGTGGTGCTAAGGATGGTGTTAAAAGTGCAACTCCGATTGGTATAACACTTTAAAGGTTTATTCTATACACCTTAGCATCATTTGGTAGTAA